ATGAAATTCCATTATCAAACTTACAAGTACCATTATGAATGGTTCAATTATGGGAAAATAAAAAAGTGTTAAAACTTCCTAGTAAGATTGGAATTATATATTTGAATTTTTGTAAAGGTTGTTAATGGTTGTACCTTCTTCGGTGTATTTTATTTTGTGGCTGTGGGACTTGTCACACTTGTAAACGCTTTTACTTACGAGGATTGAATAGAAATGATAGAAGTGGAATGCTATGCATCTGAAAAGAAAATTAATTTCGTCCAGTTAATTTCAATCATGAAAAACAAAAAAACAATTTATAATACAATCGGACTTCTACTTAAGAAACTTCCATTTTGCGAATTTCCCAATTTTGAGATTTTTTTCGAGGAACCAAGAACATTTTGGAAATTTCTTCGCAAAATAACTTCCAAATAGCGAAGTGAATTTTCTATTTAATGAACTTTGCTTTGAGATCCACTTTCCCTATTTCCTAAAATATTTCAGAACATTTCAAACTTGTTAACGCATTTTATGGGTGAAATGACCTTGAATTGATTTTCGAAACCACGTAACTTTTAGAAAAAGCTGTAAAATCCCTTTTCCTTTTTGTTTGCATTTCAAACGAAAAACTCAGACAAAACGGATTTTATAGTAGCAATTAACTTAAGGACGCATGTGGCAATGTATGCTTAAAATTACTTTTATAATAAATGCAGCTATAATTTTATACATAAATATAGCTTTTTTCAGTTGAAAATGTATGTAGCAATTATTTAAACAAGTTATTTAACTTTTTTTAGCCAGAATTCTAGGGGCTAAGCAAAAATATTGAATTATCTTGAATTTCAAATTAAAAAAGTTCGTACTACCAACGTTAGACTTCATAAATCTCCCTTATCTACAAGAAATTTCCTGAATTCACTAGAAATCTAGGTTCTAGTTCAAACCCTAAAATAAAGCACATGACAAAACACAACCCACATCCTGCAGAATATTTTCATTTATTTTTATAAGTGACGCTTGCAAGTAACCTTTTTAAATAAAAAGCACTAGGACTGAAGTGTTCATTGATTACAAACATAAGTAACGAGATTGAAAACTAACGAGGAGTTAGGGAAATTCACTTAAGGAGGCAATGTTAGTAGTGTATTTTAGAAGTGTTTACCCTTTAAGGTGAGGTAAACCTTTAAAACTGAAAATAATAGCAAGCCAACTTTGATAATGAAGTATTTAAAAAGTCAAGCATACTTTATGCATAATACGAAAGGAAAGAAAGAACACCCTGAATAACTTTTGATATGTTCGAATTTTCACGTACTAGGACTTAATGGTTCACGCGGGTGACCTTAAATATACCAATTAATTCAGGGACCGATCAAGACAAATTCAGACCCACCAAATTTTTCGGGCCCTTTACAAGATATTTTAAAATTAAATTAAAGTCCTAACAATGAAAAAGAATCTATTGAACTGCATGATTCAAGAGAAACATTCTAAGAAATTTTGAAAGCAGACAATTGAAGATTATTTTTCTGAGATAAAGTTTACGTATCTATAAATTAAAGCAAAATATAAAACAACAAAACAATGTTATATCAAAATAAAAATAGTTTGGCTGCCACAAACAATTGAAATCAGTGATTTTTGATGAAAGTCACTGATTTTTATTTAATACTGTTTGTTGTAACAATGTTTTTTATTTAATACTTAAACCAATACAAAGCTAGCCCACCTTTCATTAGACTTTTTACTACTTATTGAGGTTCTTCAGAAATTGTGGGCCTTAGGTCCATGTCTATTGGGCCTAGGCGATAATCAGGCCTTGAATTAATTTGTACAGATATTTTAAGTTATGAAATGATACATAAAAACGTATTTTCTCTGAATAAACATGCCTTTTTTAGACGGATTTGGAGTCCTTACTTTCAAAATAAAGGGGGTAACCGAAATCTGGTCCTAATAATTTTGTCAGGAGAGCGGTCCAAAGTTTGGATCCATAATATTATTTTTTCTTTTTGAGTATTTTGCTATATCTCTCGAACTTTTTAAGCGAATTCAAAACTTTCAGCGCACAATTATGAAATTCGTTCATCGAAAGATAATGTCATGCAAGAAATAATTTTTAATAATTGTTTCCTATATTTAATAAAAGTCGAAAAATTCTTGAATTGTGGGGTACACAGTTTTTTTACATCCTTAAAAGGAAATGCAATTTTTGCAAAAGAATATGCAAATTTTTTAAAACTCAAATTACCGAATTTGTGCGAAATCGGTCGAATAGTAACTGAAAAATCGAATTTTAATTACACTTTTTTAAAATTCGATTTCTCAGGAACTATTCGACCGATTTCGCTCAAATTTTGCATTCTATCCCCTATATTTTGAGAGTAAGGGATCCAAATTTGTCAAAAAATGTTTATTCAGAAAAAGTTAAATTTTTGCGCCAGATGTTGTAACTTAAAATATCGTCTCCACTAATTAATTAGCATATTTTTTTCTCACTTAAATAATGTTCATCTGGCAAACGGCGCAGTGGTCAAGTGGCAGGGAATCTGCTTGATCACAAGAAGCTTGGATTTCAAATCGTTTAGTGATCAATTTTATCGTATTATTTTTTTTTATCCTTATGAATTTTCTTCTTTTTTGTAAATAGTTCCAATAAAGAATGCAATAAATAAAGTAAAATTATAAACTATTAGAAATTTCCTGACACTTATAATACAGTAATTTAATCTTTTAATAAAATAATAATGGTTAAAAAATATTTTTAGATTTTGCTTGCAATAGTTAGATTCTTGTTAAGTAATTTCATTATTTATTTATTTTATGAACAATTGCAATTATCTTAAAAAATTAAAAAAAATTTTTTGGCACAGTTAATAAAAGATTGTTAACATGCGCTACGTATATGAAGTAGATGCGTTGCAAAACATACATCATTAACATTTAGAAAGATTTCTCAAGCTTCTTATTCATTATTATCGAAATATAAGACAAAATTTTATTTTAAAAATTTGAATTATTATTAAAACTTACATGCTCCCTCTTTTTTTCTTTTGAATTTTGAGACTAATTATTTTCAATTTAAATTTTATTGGCTAGATTTCAACAGAATTGAAAAAAGTTAAAAATTTTTACGTTTGAAAAGTAAACGTATTTCTAAAAGATTTATAACAATTATGACGATAAAATTTTTTTTTAACTGCTTCAGACTGGAGAAATAACACCCTATAATTTTAAAGTTAGTTTTTTCCTTAAGGAATGTCAAGCTTGCTATCCACTAATGCTAAAACTTGAGACAAAATTTGCCGTCTATTTCTATAAAATGTTAAAAATAGTTTGAAATTTCTCACAATTTATAAAAAAATGCTCCAAAATAATTTTCAAAACAAAGAGTTCAGTTCATTTTTGAAAGATAGACCATTCCAGAACAATGCTACTTCTAGAAAGGGTAATACACTGTGATTTGTGATTCTGACGCCAAAGGATATGCATAGGGAAAGAAGGCTAGCTCTCGTAGGCAGAATGTAAACCAGTCCCCCCCCAAGGCAAGGAATATACATAGAGGTAGAAGGCTAGCTTTTGTAGGCATAATGTAAACCAGTCCCCCAAGGCAAGGTATATACAGAGGTAGAAGGCTAGCTTCCGTAGGCATAATGTAAACCAGTCCCCTAAGGTTTGGTGTGGTCCCCGATATAAAGGAAAAACAATATTTAGAGGCGCAGCAGCTAAGGTCCGTGAAATGGGTTTCCACCCTCCTCTCCTCCCAACCACTACTGGGTTAGGGAGAAGAAAATTTTTCTCTTTTTATTGATCTGTCCTACATTCTTACACTATTCACGATCGCTACGCTCGAATACGCCAGGGAACCGGTCATCCCCAAGGGGAGATGACCGGTTCCCTGTCTTTCCCCTCACCTCCTCGTTTGTATAAAAATGTACTACGATATTTTCCCCTTTCTAAATATTTTTCGTATTTAACTGTCAAAATTATTTTTAAAAATTTCTACGACGCTTTTTTTAAAACTATACTCAATATAGTTTTCTGTTCTATATAGTTTCCCAATTTAGAAGTTTTTAATCTATTTGAAAATAAAGACAGAAACTAACTTACTTCCTTCTATGACTCTCCACGCGTTACTGGTGAAAGCATGCAAAGTGTAGACATAGGTAGAGGGTTCTGCTCTACACCACATGTAGTCCATTCCGATCGACAATTGATAAATGGTGCTGAATTGTTAATAAAGATATTCCTTTGAGAAACCATTTATATCATCCATGTTGATTAAATCTAACACATTTTGACTTAGAAAGGATAAAATGGCGGTTGGCTGAGAGACAGCATACGCAACCATACATGTAAAGTTCTCCAACAACCGTTTCACAGGTGACGTACCTCCAGACAGTCATTTTGCTTCTGATGCGCATACGCTGGATCTTAGTACATATGCTGCTCGTCATGTAAGTTATTTTTCTGGCATAGCATACCGAATCAAGCAGTTCCCTGCGTTAGTTAACCATTCTAAGAGCTGGACTTTCCCTTTCTATATTCTTGGCTGAGGCGCGTACACACAACTCGTCGCATAGTTAACCTATCATCTTTTTTCCCATTTCATCTTTATTTAGATGAAATTGAATATTACCTAACGCATGCGTTAAAGGTCCTCGGATACGAAAATTTACAATATAATCAATGCGTCAGGATTTCAATAAAAATATTAAAAAGAAAGAGAATTTTAAACCTTTACTTGGAAAGTTTAAAAAATAAGGTATTTTTTTAATTCACTTTCCAATTCTCAGATTTGAACTTACATTTTCTCATAAAACTTGATGTATTAAATTATTTCTTTTGTTATTGTTGTTTAGCAATAATGAACATCATAAATACTGTTTTTAGGCTATAATCCAAAAGATTAAAAAATAAAAACCACTGTAAGACCCTGGAAGGTTTATGTGTTTAAAATTTATGATGTAAGGCACCTAAAAAGGAAATTTTTATTGTTAAATAATGAAAATCAGTACTTAGAATAAAATTTATTTCCATTTCAAATATACAATCAATTCTAACAGTGTTTGCAAAATAAATAATACAATTACATGGTACAAATGTAAAGATTAAGCAAAGTCTTGCATTACTAAGATATTTAAGTTGTCAAAAGCCAAATAAAAAGCATTTATATATTATAAATGTACAAAAGTAAAGATTTGGGCGGGTTATCGGTATTACACCTTTAGGAAGAGAGATGTTTGCATATTTTTCCTGATAAAGAAACTATCAAGTATATATAAATAGTAGTTAGAAAACAAATATTTATGTAATAGTTTCAAATTATCAGAAACAAATGGAAAGAACATTGTATTTATGATTATGTAGAGAAAGCAATTAAAATACAATCTGGGAAAGTTTATTTGCTCTAAATTTATTAAACATATTCCGTAACAAAATTCAAGTCAAGGAAAGCGTAACACAAATTAGGTGATTACAAATTACTACATTTATAATAAAATTTATGTTGCTTCAAAGAAACTTTATTCTAATGAAACAGAATTTAAATTTATAGTCATTAAAATAATGAAGCAATTTTTATTAAAAAGAAAAATAAGTGAGCGGCAACAACTTTACTTTATTATGTTTTGGAAGTAAGGGACTGGATTAGAGAAAACTATGAAGGTAATTTTTTTTTAAACAAAAATATATCAATATATTAATGAATAATGCATTCTATAAATATTATCTTGAATAGGATTTGAGTTTCAATGCTAATGCTGTGAAGAAAACATTTCCTGATGATTCCGTAGAGGGTTAGTTTGAAATTGTTACCAGAAGCTAAACTTGTTGTATTGATACTATTAGCAGACATTTTTTTTATTTCCAGTCTTTAATTTTAAAAGTTTGATAATGAGAGTATTTAGGGGAAATGTTTTGAGAAAAATGTGTGAATTGATATTATGGATAACATTTTGAGCAAAAATGAGTATAATTTATCAACTAACATACCTCAGATACTTTAAATTCTACGAATGTACAAAATTAAGTTTTAAAAAAATCAATAAATTATATCTTATGTACATAAACTGCAAAACCGAAACTCAATTCGAAACTGATAATGAGAAAATGAGGCCCACTAAAAGTGCAAAGTTAATTTATTTGCACAATCAGTAATTGCATGAGTGCTAATATAAATATATAATCTTTATATAAACACAATTTAAAGCTGTTTTCCTCCACATTGGGTAAAAATTAGCTAATACTATAGATCATAAATAAATGTTTGATTGATGAAAATATGAATTTTAAGCTGCTTTGTTAAAATGAGGACTAGATTTAAGCTTTTGTTACATGAAAGATATTTTTAAATAGTGTGCTCCAAGTAAAACACATTTCTACAAAGATATTATGCAGTGCATTAGTAATGATTTAAGTATGATAAAGCATTTGAAACAAAATTACAAGTAAATTATTTTTCTAGTAATACACAAATTGAATTTTGATAGTTGCAATGTAAACAAATGATTGAGAACATCCATCATACACGATTTACAGGATTTAATACATTCACACTTCTTAAGTATATATATTATGCAATACAATGTGGTGTACAACATCAAAACAAATGCTGAAAATGTAATTGCAGTTGCCTGTCGGAAGTTTGATATAACAAGGTTATAATAAAATAACAAATGTAGCAGCGTTGAAAACGTGTACTTTTTAGAATGCTATGCCATAAATTAGCTCAACATTTATCATGGCCTAATGCTATTGCTTTGTAATGATATACCGCAATTCCTATTCAAAAGATGTCACACAACTTATGTGCGCTCTGAGTTTACATTTTACATTGTGACTTATATTGCTATAGTTAACAAATCAAGAAATTGCCTTTTTAAGATAATAATCAAGATGCAAATGCATATTCTTAAGAATTCAGGTGAATAAATATGTTTTTAATGTTTAGTAATAAAACACATATGCAGACTTTATGGTTTTGACTGAGTTTATTTTTGACACAAATAACACCTACTAAAATTATCAAAGCACACATTAAAAGAAACTTTCTCTAAATACAAATCTCTTTTAGAATGTATAGAACCTACTCTTAACTTCTGAGTATTTGTACACCTAGCAAATCAGTAGTAACATTCTGAGATGTAAAAAAAGTTTCTTTCTCATAAAAAAAAAGTTATATGCAAATCTAATAATTATATATTAATATGAGAGTCTCCCAATATATATATATTTTCTTAATAAATTAGTAAGTTAAAATTATATTAGAAAACTAGATTAAAACAAGAAGGAATAATTTAAGAATAATTTCTGAAAAATATAAATACAAAATCTATCAAGCCATATCTTCTTAAACTAATCCAATAGCATATATTTTTTATAATGGTCATATCAGCAATCAGTAACAAATTTATAAAATAAGGCAATTTTGTCTGAAGAATCCTTTTTTGTGCTTTTTTACTATAAATTTATGTTTTTAATTTTTGTGAATACTTTCATAAATATTAATGATATCAAATAAAATTACAAAACTAAAGTAATCATAGAGCACAAAATATAAATAAATTGTACAGAACAATACATTTAAGTACCCAATTTGTAAAAATCTCTACATTTTTTTATTATTTATTTTTGAAGAAAACATATAAATTCATAATACTATTGAGAAGTTTGAAATTCTAACTAAATGGCTGATTTTGTACTTAGAAGACATTCAGGTATGACAATTTTTTTTGCATAAATTCTTTTAACTATTCACAAGTTCTCTTTAGCTATCCTTTTACTGCAGAAGTGACCTTTTTTTGACAGAAACTGTTCTAAAAATTAAAAAAATTGAAAAGCAATTCAACATGGCAGTGTTTCACAGAATTTACTATTATTCAAACAATTTCAAGCATGTAAATTTTTTATTCATGATCATTAGAAAATCAAACTGAACAAAATTGTTGAAAGCACCACAAAGCATACATAAATACACACATAGCTCACAAGCACACAGACATATATACATATGTATAATAATTTTTACATATAAAAGTTTTTGAGACATAACAAATAATTTAATAACAGATGAGTAATGAGGTCTTCTGTACATTTTTTTTATATATACACTGTAAAATAAAAATTTGACTAAAATATACAATCATGATGGTGATAAATAATGATAGTGAAGTGTTTTTAATAATTCATTAAGAATAGTGATATATGAACCTTAAAAAATTAAACCAAGTTTTGATATCGTAACTTTAAATGCAAATATAAGGCCCCAGCCTTAAAAATAAAATTTAGCACAAGTACATATTAAAACATTAATAAATAAATTATTGTCTTAAACTGCATTGTTACACTTTATATTTTATTTATGATAAAAAAATATTTGCAAGCTAGTTTTGAAACTAACATTTTTACAATGTAATAAATATTGAATGATTAAATAATTTCTTACAAGTAGGGACATTCTTTCAACAGTGGCAGATTTTCAGCAACATATTTATCAATTTTTTAACCATTTAAATACAGCTCTAAATGGAAAAGATTGAACATAAACTATTTAATAGACTATTTGTGACTTCAAAGAAAAATTGAAATATCATAAAACAATTAACAACCTAAGCAAAATAGATAGCTGCCAGTCTTATTTTGCAAATTAGAATAGTTGCAGTTGAAAATTGCAAAATGTAGGGCTAAATTCCAATATTCTTCTGCAATAACTAGATGAAAAAGAACAAAACTGCATGTATGAAACAGGGAGATTAAAATTAATCATGCCTGATAAAGTATTCATAACTAAACTAATCTAATTAATATTGACTACAATGCTTTAATATTCCATACAAAATTTTGCTTGAAAGAGCCATATTAAACATTCAGACAAATGCTAGTTTCAATGCATGTACAGTGTAGACTATTCAAAGTCTCACTTCGATTGTTAATGAATGAAGTGAAAATGATGATGCAGTAATCACAGATGTAGAGGTATCACTAGATAATGCTGGCAGGCAGTTTATCGAAAACTTCAGTAGACTTTTTAGATAAGCTACCTCGTCTGCGAGGAAGGGTAGACGTCGTTGGAGGATTCAAGTCGGGACAACCACTATGAATTAATAAATCGTGGACTTCTTGATATCCCCCATTTTTTGCATATGTAGCAGCAGTTTTGCCATCTGAATCCACAGTCTTCACATTAGCATTATTCTGAAATTATGAAAATAAAAATTTTAAATCCATGAAACACTTACCAATATTAAATTAACTCTTGAGTAATAAAATGGATTTGCTAACAGATATTGTTTAATTATACTGAGATTTAAAATAACAAGTAATATTAACGTTGATTACAAATGATTTTTTAAAATAACTTCTTATTTATGGTAGAATAACTTCTTATTTATGGTTTATTACTTAGAATGTAAGAATTTGTTACTTAAAACTATATTTAATAAAAGTTGCAATGAATTCAGACAAAAATTAATAGTGATGAATTGTTTTTACACTGAATTGTCAGAGACAAAATTACATGGAACACTCAGAAATTATGCAAAAACATTATATTCTAAGCACATTGGATATTTTAGGAAAGGTCACTTCAAGCATTTGAACTCGCTAGCAAATTACAGAATCCTAGATAAAAGTACTGTATGTTGCAAACAGTTTAAGTGTATCTAGTGGTACAAAATAAAACTGATAAAAAGTTTTATATTTAAGTAGCAGTAAACCATTAGTATGCGAATATTTCATAAAAGTGTCCAAATTCTTAGGAATTTTTTAAAAAAGTTAACAAAAATAAATAAATAAAATGAAGCTAAAAAAATTTACATACCCATATCAGTAGCTGAGTTATTGGCAAGTTACCCAAAGCTGCTGCTAGATGGATAGCAGTTCTCTGGTCTCTAGGACCAACTACAGTATTCACATGCTCTGGAGAAGATGAATGAGCAAGAACCAGAGCTACTCCTTTGATATCACTTTTACACACAGAATCAATAAGTTGCTAATTATAAGAAATACATATTAGTTGAATCTTTAAAAGGGGGTACTCATTTTTATTAATGAAAATTAAAAATACAAATTGCAAGATATCTATTGGGTAGATAAACCTTCCCATACTCTCATATAGAATTGTTTTTACTTTAGTAGATGTCAACCATATTGCTATTCCTTATCTTAATATCAATACCTAATTTGTTAGAAATATCATGTTTTTTAACTTTAAACATTTTCTTTAACACATTATAAAATAATGGTGAATAGGTAAAAATCTTAAAATGTATTTATTGATCATCAATCAAATTGAATTAAACATGAATTCACAACTTTGTTGTTATCTTTTAATTTTTTTTCCTTATCCCAGGAGTGGTAAATGAAAATGCAGTTTAATTATACATTTTCAGCAGAAAAATTCATGTTAGGTGAAAATCTCTCGGTTGGGATTAAAATTTTGATGAGGGTGCAACTTTTTTTAGATTTCTCTAAGTATTTACATGACAGGAATAAATTCTAGTCATTTTTTTAATTGTTTTTTGTAAAATAAATGTTTATATAAATAAATAAATACACTTACAACTACAAGTAGTTAAAACCTTTTCTTTTAAAATAATTTAGCTTGTATAATGAGCATTGATTTGCTGAACGAATAAATAAATAAAGTGGTGCAATTAAAATTAATGACTTTTAAGGATAAAATATTTTGAATGAAATTTTTTTTATCTGTTTAATAACTAAAATACTTAGTAAAAAAAAAGGGTAGCTTAAAAAATGTCAAAAAGAATATCACAAAAATTAGCTCCTACTTAAAAGTCTTAAAATTTTATTCTAAAAGTTTCAAAGGTTTTTCATCATTTTGTAGACAGATATGAAATCTGCAAAAATCATTAAAAAAAAAATCATGGTAATTGGCTAATCTGTAAAACTATCACTAGTTGAACATAAATTATGTATAAATACAAACAATGTACTACCTGGCCTAGAGGAGTTGTTGTCGAGACAGGTGCTAAGAATTCTTTGAATTCATATTTAGCTCGTATCCATCGCTCTTTTTCTTCCCTATAAAAAGTAAAATACTATTAAATAACAATATAAAGCAACAAAAATTTTGTTTCTAGTGTCTCCTATTATTTTTATCTCACTAAAAATGAAATTATTTTTTTCCTTTAGAGAGCTGCAAATACCTCTGCAAAGCAGTGCTCCAGCATGGTGAATTTATGTTGTTCAAAAACAAATTTCAAAATTTTCAGATTGAAGAAATATTTTGATTTATTTTGATAATAGGATATATTGATTTATTTTGATAATTGATTCATTGCAATACCATTCAGTATCAAGAATTTTAGATAATATTATACAAAAAAGTTCATATCAACTATTAAATTTTACAGAAAATTAAATAATTCCATCTTTTATATTTTTTGTAAACAATTTTAACCACAACCTTTTTTTAAAGCTAACATCAATATTGAGAATTCTTTCACTGGAAAAATTAAAGCTTAAATTCTCAGTTCAAATACCATGAAAAATAAATATAATGTTTTAATAACACACTGGCATTACACAATTTCAAATAGTAAAAAAATATTCTCGAAAACTTTAAGAAACTAAGTATCCAATTAAGTCTTAGATAGTTCCAAGAGGAAAAAAATATGTGAAGCAATTTCATCAAATGTTTAAGTAAAAAAAAAATTCTTTTCTTTTCAATATAAAACAAAATAATATTTAAAATCCAAAAATGACAAAAAAAAATATTCTTTAGAAAAATTGATAATAATAAATGAAGAGCTTTAAAAATTTGTTCAAATGTCTGGATGCAAAATTAAAAAAACAAAACAAGCATGTTTACCTGCTGGAATTAGGGGTTGGCTTGGCTCTGCCTTTGGTATTTCCTTCCCATATGTTGTTAGCTGATATATTGCCAAGAGCCATCATGACACTAACATGCTCAGGCCTTAAAAAAAAAGATTTAGTTTTTATACATTTGTACATATATTTTAGACGAAACATGCATTCAAAAAGTCATTCTTTTGTAAGTTAAATGAAATTGTTTGGGGGAAAATAAGATATAAAAAATAATTAATTTTGAATGGCAAAATTAAACAGTGTTAAGAGAAAATTTGTTCTAATAAATATCATAAAATAAATGTATAAACCTTTTTGATTTTCACACGAATATATTTTTGGCACTCGGATTACAAAAAAAAATTTTTTTTGTTCATAGATAAAAAAGCAAAGTTGTCAAAAAATTTTTCAATAAAAATTTTTTAAAATTTGTTTCCGAGTATGCCGAGTACATGTATTTAATAGTATGGATTCAATAATCATGTATTGAATAGTATGGAATTTCAAGAAAATAAATATTTAACTGATTTTACTCATAGAATAATTCATTTACAATAATAAGTTTGAAAAATCTGACTTAAAAAAATAGACCAGTACTATACACTTACTTTGATTTAGTTTATTTTCAATAAAACAATTTCGATGAAACTATGTAATAACTAATGATGGTAAATGTAACATCTAACAACCTTCAATCTTATCACCTTGCTTAGTGCGCAAAATAAAAAAAGAAAGAATATCCTGAATAGTTTTTGATCTAATGATTTTCACGTATCAGGACTCAATCTTAACCATCACTCCACACTTTTTAAAAGTGAAGAATAATTACTTATATATAGTTTTCAAGAAATGTAGGAAAAATACAGAAAAATCTGTTTTTTTTTGTTAACTGGATCTGGATTATTAAAGATTAATGCAATTCTTACTGGGTAGGCTGAGTACGGGGTACATGCTGGAAACCCAGTACAACCCTAATAAATATCTTATTTGACATAGGGATTTTACAATTCTGACTATACTCTAGGGAACTTTTTTATACATATAAATAACTTGACCAAATAAAAATGATTCATTATTTACACAATAAAAGAAGTTACTTACAACCACTCATCTAAATCCAATGATCTAACTCTTGATATATGAGAGCCTAAATTCCTGTGAATGCCAGAGCATTCAATGCACATTAGGGCTCCAATGTTTAAGCTCGCCCAGTCAGGATCTAACAATTAATAAAATATTTACACCATATAGTCATCAGTTCCTTTCAAGCAAAATAAATTTAAATATTATATTGATAAATTTAACAATAAAAAAATATAAATAGCTATTAAAATTCATATAGCTAGGAAAATTTAAACTACTGTTTGAATGCATGAGACAGAAAATATCTAAAAAGGACTAAAGAATTATTCAATGATGAACATGAGCAAAAAAGTGGTTAAAAGGTCATTGGAATATAAAAGGGATTAACTAAAAAACTTTTTTCTTCAGATCACACAATTTGGTTGTTTTGTAATTGCAATTTTGTACCAAAATAAAAAGTTGCTCTCTTTAAGAAATTGATACAATAACTAGGATAATTCTATAGGTAAGTCACATTAAAGATGAACAAAATTGGAATTTTAAAAAAGCAAACATAAAAGGTCTAATATTACAAGCACAATTAAAATTTCTTGTATCATTTAAATATTTCAATAACTGAATTTTATAATTCGTTTGCTCCACATAAGTTAACAGTTCAGACTTAGATGGCAAAAAAAAAACGTAGCATATTCTGTTATGTACATATTTTGTATTAAACATTTATTGCCTTCGATTTTTTTTTAAAAACTGATTTTGACATTTCACTCCTCATAATTTATTTTTTAAATATTGCTTGATTAAATATAAAAATAGTTAATACATAGTGGGACCTTTATGTATGGCTCAAAATGACAAAACTGAAACATAAAATTTTTACCAGGCAAGTAATTTAACAACTAAACACATAAAAAATTGTCAAAAATTTAAATCGTTTTTAATAATTGCATAAATTGATCAGTTCAAAAGTACTTTGGAAACTTACATACATAACAAGTCAAATCAGTGAAATAAATTTATGTAATCATATATATGATTATATATATATATGATAGATAGTGATAGATAGAGTGATAGATAGTGACTTATTTAAAAACAGTGTTAATATCTTAATAACCTTAAAAATATACAAATTAAAGAAAAATTGATCTAGAAATTTTATTTGCTATAGAAATCAAATGTAACTTTAAATCACATTTTAATTAACTGCTATTAAAAAAACACATAATAAGCATTCATCAATTTTTCCTAACTAAAAATTTTTTTGCATGTTTAACTTTACCTACCATGACTTAAAATATTATATTAAAACAAAAATATTATGTGCTATCATGTAAAGTCAATACATATTTATTAATTTCAGTAATAATATTTTTAAATTGAAAAAATATTTTTAAATATGGTGTGAAGAGCTGAAGAAACGCTAACAACTGTTATTATAAAAGAGAGAGAGAAAGGGAAAAAAAAATAGCGAAAAACAACGAAGTTATTACTAAGATCTGAAACAATAATATCGTGTTAAATGTATCAATTTTGGAAAAATGTGTGGCACTGGACGAAAAATGACTAGTAACTGCAAAAAAAAAGCTCTATTAAGCACTTTAAAAGTGTGTATGAACACTTGTAGAAAGAGAAAATCCAATTCAGGGAGAAATGCACAAAATTTCATGTTTTGGCAGCTTCACACTAGATATAAAAAACGGAAGTTAAGAAAACATGATTAATAAAATCCTTACTGGATACAGTGTTTCTCTTTCTTGCGTTTCAAGAGGCATTCATTTGAAAGAGGAAGTTCTTTATTTTTCATCCCATATTCAATCCCCTTCTATCCCCCACCTATTTGGGAGAGTACTTTAGAAAAATTGATAATAATAAGTGANTCTTTATTTTTCATCCCATATTCAATCCCCTTCTATCCCCCACCTATTTGGGAGAGTAGTTCTTAACTAGCATGTGGGCCATAATATCACAGGTTCAATGAAGGGGAAAATGGGAAATCTTTCTTTGAAAAGGGGTCGAAATAGGAAAATTGAAACAAAAAAAAAGTGAGATAAGTGACCAAGCCTTAAAAATAGTAAATAAAAGTTAAAATTTTTTAAGATAGTGACATTAAGTGAGAAAAGTGACCAACACTGAGCTCTGTGTTTGCTTTCTTTAACATAAAAATTTAACTTATTAAATATTAAATTTGCCATAAAAGAATAACTGAAGATTCAAATTTTAAATTCCCTGTTAGGGAGTATTTGGTACGCCATAAGTTTGTATACTAAAATATTTCATTAGAACATATTGCAATCTAGCAAAACAGTTGACTCTGTATTAAAAGCAAGCATATTTTTAAATTTCCTTCATTTATGTAAATAAATTAGTGCAACTTAAGGTAAACATACTAAAATCTATTATATAGGAGAAAATAATTATCGTTTGCAATCTTCAAAGATGTTAAATTATGAAGTCTTTTGAAAAAATTGAGAATCTATTTCACTAATGTTTATTTGTTTAGGGGCTGTGGCAACTGGACGAATGGGATTTGAAGAACCCTGGATAATTTATACATACATTTATAGAGAGTTAAAAAATGTAGTTCATATTGCAAATACTTTATAAAATATTATATTTTGAAAATTCATTACGATCTAAAATGAAAAATCATAAACAAATACAGTGAAACCTTCTGTTATGGACACTCCCGTAAAACGGTTGCCTCTCAATATGGACATATTTTTAATTCCCCGTGAATCTTCTATGAATAAAGCATAAGTACATTCTCCACAAAGCTGACACTCCCTTAACCGGACAGTCATTTTTGCCCTGAATCGTTATTTTCTATCTCTTCAAACCAAACATTACTTTCTCTAAATTTGAAAAAAAAAAAAATTCTGCTTTAAATTGCATGAAATTTTTTGCCTTATCCATAACTAAAAATATTGTTAAGCTATTTCACTACTGAAGAATCAATCTTTCTCCTGTCACCTTGCCTTATTTTTGCAAAGAAAGGTGAGAAAATGATACTGGTCTTGTGAAATAATTCAAACAGGGGCATCTTTTGCTCCTTTCATCTGGACAACACAGGCTATGAGACCCCTCAATTTGAAATGATGTCTTAAATGCTCTCAATGCTTCTTCCCCACTGAAAATTTCTTTCATTTTCTTATCAATTTGAAGATTATATTTTACACAATTGGGGTAAAAAAGAGAACAGAAATATAACCTTTGAGTTGTTCATATAAATAAAGCATTCATTCAGACACTTGATACATGATCAATTGTGAATAATCAACTCCACAGGTCCTTATGCCTTACAGGTATGCATTGCTTTTTTTTCTATGTATTGTGGGAGGTTTACTTTCAAAGAGGTATTAACGATGTTTCCTATCAAGTGATAGGTTAGTGTTAGGGGGTGTAAACCTAATAATTGAAACCGACAGAGGACTGAAATTTCCTATTCGGTATCATATGACTAACTTGAATATCTGTCTAACTTATAGGAAAATTATATTTATTTATCTGTAGCTACATCTAGAATTATGTATTTATATCAAACTTTTTCATCTATTCTTTTTTGCATAGAAAAAATATTTTTTAAACTTTAAATAAATATCCTTGTAGATAGTTACTGTAGATTGTTTAATTATTTCTAAATTTTTGAAAATATTCTAAAAAAAATTTAGATGTTAAACGTTGTTATTAGGGTACCCTTCCCGTAAACGGACAACTCTCATAAACAGACAATTTTTTCGGTCCCCAGAATGTCCGCCTAATAGAGTTCTCACTGTATATAAAACTAAAATAAAATTTCAGAAACTGCATAGATCTAAAGAATAATGAAGAATTTACAAATAAAAAGACATACTTGGGGCATCACAGTCAACACAATGGGAATTTCCTGGAATGGAATTCTTTATTGATTGAATTAATGTCTGGTCGACTGAAGACGTGGTTCGTCCAGACTAAAAAATAAAAGCATATTTAATTGTCACCTGAACAGTGAAAAATTGAATATAAAAAAAAAATTTATTTCAAAATTATATTAAATACTTTTGTCTTGCAGCTCTCATTTCCTTGTAGACTTGTAAGTATTTGCTGTTCAATAGCAGTTATCCATGCCTCACGATCCTAAAGAGATAATTAAAATTTAAGTTCAGCATATTTTAACTGCCAACTCCAAGCTGAGTACAGAGAAGAATCAGCTATGTTGCACCATAAACCAGAATATTCTTCCGCTTTTCTACTAATTTAGCATAAGCCTCTATTTTCTTAATTGAAAACTGGTAAAGATTTGTCATTTGAGATAGGGAGATTTTTTTTTAAATGTGGTAAATGTAGCAGGTGAAAAAAAAAACTCCTTTAGAGCATGTGAAGAAAGTAATTTTCAAAAACATACGAAACTTTAAAAACTTCAAACTAAAAGTAAATAATCTCTAACTATTGTATACAATCTAAAACATGTTTTGACATGTTTTATGTGTTTTGACAAAAGTAAAATTTATGCCACGTTTATAAAAGGCATTTTCAATGATACAGACAGGGTCTGAAGTTATATAGTTCAATCATATAATATTTGGTAGCTCTTTTATATTCCAATAATTTTCTCAATCTGAAATTGGAATAAAATATCACTGAAATTAATGTGTACTATTAAGAAGATAACCTTAACTGAGCGAAAGATTGAATTTGCCAATAATATGAAAGAATTGCTCCAAAAAAGGAAAAGTACCCTACTGTCAAGATCACACAACAAGACAGGGAAAAGCAGTCAAAATGCTTTCATACACCCTTTACTGTGAGGAACAAAAATTGTACACGAGTAATGTAATGAGAAACTGCGTGTAATAGAAATTGTACTCATCCTTATTTTATTAATAACTTGGTAGTTCGATAAATTTTAAAAGCTTTATTAAGGAAGTGAATACTATTCCCCATAATTAAATTAAAATAATTGATTCAATAATAAAAAAATTGATTTTATTATTTTTCAGAATCATAAAAATACTTATGGTTTAAGGTTAATTGAATTCCAGATAGTAAGACCCTAATTGTTCATTACTTTTATTTAAAAAAATATCTTAATAAAGTAACATGGTAGTAATTAAAATAGGTATAGTAAAAATAGCTTTTTTCAATAAACTGTTGCATCCCTTTTAAATACTATGTTCAGCATAATACAAGAAAATTGTTATAGAACATGCAGTTTTTAAAATAATTATTAAGAAGAAATCGCCAGTTCTTTTGTTCATTACTCGAGAGGAGCCCGATGGTATTTAGTTTTTTACTTCGGCATATATCAGACTTACAGTCTGAATGATTAGTTATTAATTATGAAAATTATTAAAATATCATGAAAGGTAAATAATTATTTATCAACATAGAGTTGATTACTTACATCAGAGCTAGAAGCTTCAAAATGCCATTGCTTATTATCCAGTGAAACTATGATAAATTCATGATCATCCGAATCTAAAAATATAAATTAGTTCAAATCTAAAAAAGAAAAACAATACACAGATATTTTTCATAACATTAAAAAAGTTAAACTCAGAAATGATGAAAACATTTCAAAATAGTTTTTCCAATTTCAACAAATGTTATTTAAAGATGACGTCAAAATAAAGTTTAGGTCCTTATAGATCTACAATTTATGTTTGAAAACACACAGAACAATCTTCTTTTAATATGATAATTCTTAATGTTTTACAACGACTTATGTTTAATCATCTTTATAATTAAGTAATTTTTTGTTCAATATTGTCATCTCACAGTAGTATAATACAAGCGTAGCTAATTATAAAATTTTTCGCGGTAACAATTATTTAATAACTATACTGAAGCTCTTCAACTCAATTACAATGAAAACCAATTAACACTTTAAAATTTAGGTGGATCACAGAGCAGTAAAAGGTGAAATTTACACTATGAAGTATAGAAAATTTCTAACCATCCATTGTTTCCATATTTCTGAGACCAGTACTTTTCATTCTGCGATGTCTCTTCTTTACAATAGGAGTATCTAGTCTACTTAGCAGAGGATTTGTACTTGGTACTGCAGGAATCAACTGAGTTTCGCTTCCAGTCAAGACACCTAGAAAAAGTTATTGTTAAAAAAGAGAATGACGTAATAAAGAAAATTCAATTATACAACAGGGAAATGATTATCACAAAAAAATGAAATGACTAAAATAAAAATGTAGCCTAAGAATCACAAAAATTTAAAAAACTGAGTCAACTAACCTCCAGCAATAGACATACTGCTTAACTCTGAAGCAAGTTCATTGACTTGATGTGATGAGGCACTAGTAGATGTCCCTTGAGTTCGAGAACCTCTAGGCTTTTGCCCAGGAATCTTGACAGTTGTATGCATCAAAGGAATCTCTTTTCCATGAATATCATCCATATAATCCTTTAAAAAAAACAATAAAAATGTATAATACAGAAATTTTATAGGCAAATAAACAAAGTTAATGATACATAAAATAATAAAACTATAAAAGTTTTTAAAAAATAATGTCATCATTGACAAAACCTATTACAGTAAAACCTTGCTACAACAATATTTTGGGGACCAAATAAATATATTGTTGTAGAGGGATATATTATTATATCAAGGGCCTACATACTTTGGGAACACAATAAGATTTTTTTAAAATTTTAATGTTATATTATATTAACTATAAATCTATTTACATATTATATAAAAATTTAATTTACTGAGTGGCAATTATGGTTAAATATGAAATCAGATAGGAATGTTACATCTGTGACTTAAGAGATAAGGGAAGCAATTCTAAGAATGGAAGGTCTTGGAGTGGTCTATGTACATCAAGGATGAGGTATTGAAATCTGAATGCAAAAGCCATTCACTGTGGTGAAAAGAAATAAGTACATAATCAGCAGTGAGACTTCTCTTGACCGAAAAAAAAGGAAAAATATGATAAAATAAGATTTTTTGCATTATTTGAAAACCAATAATCAATGGAGAAAATAAGGTTGAAATTTGAAGAATTTTTTTTTTACAGGGTTTATTGCTTCAGAGAATATTGCAATACTGAGAGGTCGATAACATCAACTCATATGCTAGTTCATTGGGTTCATGAAACATTATTGTAATAGAGGGAATTATTGTTGTGTCGGATATCACAGTAGTGAGAGTTAAAAGGAAAATACAGAACTATTTTAAGTTAATAAAATGTTAAAATATTATACTCATAACAAAATTGAGAATTTAAACATATAATTAGGAATTAAACAAAATATATCCATAACATTCTCTTATCTTCAGGGCTTTTATGAAATAATTCCTTGAAAATTTTATCAAATAAACTACTGCTCAGGTTGTAATTGACTGTAGAATTTATTGGCCTAAGAGCTGTAACCAATTATATTGCATAAGCAAATAAAATTTTCAAAATATGTTATAGATGTAACAAGGTAATCTCAAAAACTTCAATACTGATTTTTCAATCCCATTTGACATAATTATTATGTTTTATAAATTTTTTTTTGTCAGACAAAATTTGATCCCGTAAAATAAGAAAGGGTTTGAATTCCACTACATTTAAAAAGTTATTTTTCAGTCAAATTAAATCTAATGTGGCACAAATTTTTTGAAATAAATGTGCTTTATGAACTAATATTCAGAAGAAAAAAAGAGAAATTGCAATTTTAAAAAAATGATGAGAGGAATTTACTTTGAGAAACATTGCAATTATTTCATGTATCCTTGTTGCAAAATGATTTTTCAGAGGAATTAATGTTTTTAGCAATTTTTACACTGTCTTTTAAAGTCTTCAAGTTCAGAAACTGACTGTATTAAATGTTTCTCAACTTAACTCATTAAAATAATTAAAACTTAATTTCATTGAAGTTATATTAACACCATTTTATAAAAAGGACAGTGTTCTAAATGAATAGTTTTTAATTCTAAATTACTACTATTTTTTATACCATTAACTAAAAATACTAATTACATGGATTAAAAAAATGATCGATAGAAACATTTATAAAGTTCCTTGCCCTAACAGAGCAAACTATTTTCAAACATACAAATTTTAAAAAATTGAAATTTAACTAATTAATTTGAGATCCAAATAAAGAAAATTGACATGCCAATAAAGAAAACTTTTAGGTGTTCGTTAACACAGTTATAAAATCTCATATCAGTTGGTAAGGTTTCCTCCAAAGTGGGAGCAACAAATAATTTAATGAAATACAGTTTCCATTTCTTAGAAATGGGAAACTGACCAAACAAATTCTGTAAATAACTAAATGGCTATTATTTAACATATACTAAAATAACAAATTAACAATGGCTTCAATCTAACTCAAGATTAATACAAGCAATGTGCATAACTAAAGTAAATCAATGAACAAAATCATGCAAATAATAATTGGTATAGCTAAATTTAATTCATTGTCATCTCATTAAATGCTGAAGTAGTAATAAAAATATAATTTTAAATTTAATAATGGCTTCATTTAAATTAAAACTAAAACATGTGTAAATTTTCACAAGCAATGATATGTTTAAAAAAATATAAAATTACTAATTTAAAATATTTAACAAAGATTGGAATAAGTTAACATACAATAAAAAGATGTAAACTTACATGAAGACTAGGATGATAAGTTAATCTTCCATCACTTGTTAGTGTAACATACTTCTTTTTCCATTCCTTATTTAAGGCTTTACTACTTCTCTTGTATAAATATCCCTAAAAACACATTATATAAAACAAAAAGAATAAGTTTCACATGTCTTATTTAGATGCATATTTTATAGTAATACTAAACATGTAGCCCAAAAATACAAACTGGATTTGTTTAAATTGTTTTTCCTGAATTTGAATTAATTGTCAAACATAGTGAATCAGTTTTTCATATACAAAGCATACCCTCCAACTAGTACAGAATTTCTATAGTTTAGTAAATATTTTTCTCAGCTAAGTCATATATTACTATTTCAATAAATTAGAATTAAAAGAATTTTATCAACCACAATATATGAGATATATGAGATAAAAGAAAATGGTCATACTTTTAAGTGCTAAATTTGAGGCGCACAACCTGCGGCCCGCCAACCCTTAATATGTGGCCAACGGTAGCAGCCTGAACAAAATTGAAAAAAGTATTAAATTTTTTTAAGGGAAAAAAACTCGAAAATTTAAAATTGCGCATTTAAGTTTTTGACACACCCAATCTCAATCAATTTAGTTTTTCGATAGCTTTTTTTTCCGATGGTTAATGTTACGGATTTTTGCATAGTTTTGAAAACCCCAATATTTTTAATAGGACATTATTACGATACACGAATTTTGAATTTTAGTTATGGCTTTTGACACCAGATTGTGGGCCGATTTCATCGTAAATCCCACCACTTTTAGGTAGTTATTACAACTAATTTTCATGTAGCTTCTGAAATCGCGATTTTTTTTAAAAATAGATTTTAATGTCTTGAAAGTTTTGAATGAGGCATTCAAATAGACTTGTTTTCGAAGCACTTATTTGAGCAAACTTTATCTCAAATCTAAATGACTTTTTTTTCGGCAATTATTGTTAAGCATTTCCTTTTTAAAATTTCGATATTTTTTAGCACGATATTATAATGAATCGCGAGTAACGAATAGCCATATTTTGACGTGGCTTATTTGTGCCAATTTCAAAACAAATCTAATTATTTTTCAATCATTATTTTCCAAATATTGCGACACTTTAATTTTGAATCACGCATTTATATACATAACTTTCTGACGCCCTTTATTTTTGTCGATTTCATCGTAACTACAGAGGGATTTTGATAGTTTTTTCGTTAGTTATTACTACACATTTCTCTGTGATTAAAACAATCCTGATATGGTTAATACTATAATTTCACGGCACACGAGTTTCAAATCGCGCATTAAAATAATCACTTTTTACATGCTCTATTTGTGCCAATTTTAACATAAATATAAGTTTTTTTTTAAACGTTTTCTTTTTGACAGTTATTGCTGTATTTTTACTCGTGATTTTGAATATCCTGATATTTTAACACAATATTACAATGCATTAAATTCAATTCTGTTTAAATAATTTTTGTAATTTGAAAAGTAATTACGTATTTTAGCAAAATTGACACTTTCCTAGAGAGAATAATAAAAAAAAAAAATGAGATGCGTAAATTTATATTAAATCAGTGTTCGTGATTTTTTTTCATTTTTTTAAAAAATTTTTTTAAAAATCAGATTTTTTTTGATTTAAATCAGATTTTTTTAAATCTAAATCAGTTTTTTTTTATTTTTATTAAAACACAATGTAAGAACTTTAATTTATGATTAAAAAAACTTCATAAATGTTCAATCGAAATTCAATTAATATTAAAACAATATTATAACAATCTTTTAGAAGCTCTAACTTACTAATATGATTTTTCATTATAATACCTAGCTTTGAATGCATAGCAACCATTTTGAAACAAATGCATAATTGAAATTTGAAGACTAGATGAAATAGAGAATTTAATGAAAGGGGCCTATCTTGGTTTTTCTGAAAGGTGTTTATTTTGTGAAAATTTAGATATAATTTATGAAAATTAAAAATAATATTAAAAAATCAGCACAAAAATATAAATTTATTCGTTTCTTGCGAAACACAAAAGTAAAATTTAAAAAAAAAGTATTTTGTGAAACTATCATTTTTCCTAAAGTTGAATTCATGAAGGTACCCTAAGCAGTAGCAAATTTGGCTTGGGCATACTCTTTAACTATTAAATTAAAGTTTCAATTAGCAAACCATAATTTTAATTTAAAATTGTGTTATTTTTTCTCTTGATTTTTAATATGACAAAATAAATGTAACAGATTGTGTTTATAAATGTAGTCATTCATCAAAAAAATAAATTAATTAATAATCTAAATATTTTTGCATTAAAATATTCATATTTAATTCTATATCAAAATAGATCAGCTAAAAAAATTTTTTTAAAAATCTATACACTCATTGGAATTTTTTTTCACAAAATTTCTTTATAGAAAATCTGATAATGTCAAAGATACTGTTAACATATAATGAGAAAAAATACCAGTTACCAGTTAATAACTCTACTGCTTCAAATAGACTTTGAAAGGGAAGAATGACACTATATCAGGAAAAAATATCTGAATTCATTAGCCATTTTTTTTTCTTCTATTTTTGGCATATTAGGGTAATTTCTTTTTAACATAACCTCAAGCTTTAGAAATATACATTTTCCACCAATAAAATATAATGTAGATTTTAATTCCATGTTGTTTCAATCAAAAGGTAGAATTTTACTTAAGATTATTTGCAATTTTTTTTTTGAAATTCATGTCTATTAATTACTTTCTACAGCTATGCAAGTCTAAATTAAGATAGCATTAAATGCGTACTTTAATCTGTACTTTCAATCTCAAAAATCAAAAGATTTTTAAAAATGTAATTTCAAATGTGTTGGAATTTAACACACACCAAGAAAGTACTTTCGTTAATTAAAATTAATTAACACAGCAATTTATTTAAAATAATATAATAAAAGTATCAATAATTTAAAACACTGTTTTTTAACTTTTAAAATCAATATATATATTTAAAAAAACCAGTTGATTTAAATCAATGATTTTTAAAAAAAATTTTTTTGATTTAAGTCATGATTTAAATCGTGATTCAAATCAAGTTGATTTAAATCAACGAACCTTGTATTAAACGTGGATCCATTTTGCAGAAAAATATTTCAATTCACGTGCATAATTCCTTGGTATCATGAACATGTGAAAGTTTAGCAACACATACCCAATTTATTCTTTTTCGTAGTCACATGATTTAAAAATCACATGTCGCGATTCGTGCATTTTAAAAATCGTGCATTTTGATTCTTCTCGCAATTTAAAAGTCCCACATCGTGATACGTATTCACGCGATTTAAAAATCACTCATCGCATTTTGTAGAGAGTAAAAATCATCCACCGCATTTTGCATTCACAAGGTTTAAATTGACATATTGCGACTCGTATTCTGAATCGAGATTTAAAAAATCACATTTGTTACTCTTCTTACAAATCAAAAATCAAACACTGTGATTCTTATTCAGGAGATCAAAAAAGCAACATCTCGATTCATATTCACGCGTCTTAAAAATAGTACGTTGTGAATATTCTTCTCGTATTTTAAAAATCACACATCTCGAATTGTATTCACGCATCGCGTTTTTTATTTACGCAATTTAAAAATCACACATCAATGCTCGTATTCACGTGATTTAAAAATTAGGAAAGGAAGAGCACCATCTACAACAAATTTCCAAAATTGATTAAGTTATTTGCCCTAAGTTTAATACTGCCTACAACAACAGTATATGTAGAAAGAAACTTTTCCAGATTGAATTGGGCATGTTCAGATAGAAGAGCAGTCCTTAAATAAAACCATTAAATTTTCATTTAATGGTCCGAAAAAGCTATCGGATGATCAAGTAGATATTTTAAAATCACAACATTTGAAAAATTCCAGGATGAAATTTTTTAAGCCATTTTCTACCTACATGGACCATTTTGTATCATGTACTTTAAATTTTAACTGCAAAAAAGTATCGTAAAGTAAATTTCAATTAGTTTTTGATATATATGTGTATTAACTGTAAATAGTGTCATGTTAAGAAAGTATTCGTCCTAAAGAGTTGTAAACAAGTATCTTAATAGTTTTTTATTATTAAAGAAAATAGTTCTTTCAAAATTAATGTTTTCTTTTTTTCTTTTCTCTCTTAGCCCTTTCCTCTTATAATTTATTTAAAAAATGTTTTAAAGTAGGAGTATATTCCCTACTGAATGTTGAATCTTAATTTGCCCTGCAAAGGTTTTTTTTCAATTTTAATCATTTTTAATCCTGCAAACTTTCTTTAAATTAAAGTATTTAACTTTATTTTTTTTAACTAGAATATTTATTTATTTTTAAAAAATTTAATTCCATGAACATTAAAAATATGAATGTTAAAATTTATCTTTAAATGGACTTTAGTATTATGTGATAAAAAAGCATGAATTTTCCCATTGTTTTTATTTATTTCAAATTATTTGAATTTTTTCTGATAATTGATTCTGATTCAGCTTTTTCCCTAAGTAATCAGTTTTGCAGTTTTTAATTTTGAACTTTTAAAAGTATTTAATTTTATGCAAATATATTACAAGGTTAACTGAAAAGAATTTAGTGGCTAGAGCAATGATGTTTACATAACTATTAATACCTATAATTGCTGTCAACATGTCTGTCTAAATACTTGGGCATGCGACCCTTTATTGGTAAATCTGCTGTGCATGTGGCCCTTCACTCAAAAAGGTTGTGAACCCCTATGCTAAATAAAGTTTTATAAAAAATTAAGTTAGCTATAAAAATTTCTGATTTAATTAGCTACCACTGGAAGACCATTTCACACAAACCCCAAATATGGATTTGACAGAGGTAAATTAATTGTTTTAAACTATCACCAAAAATTAAATTTATTCCACAATTAGCAAGACATTAAAACTGAGTTGCAATTAGTCTGAAAACATCACATGCCTTATTGGTTGATTTTTTTAATTTTTCACATACTATTAGGTTTTTATTTTTGATTATTTTTATGTAAAACTGTTGAGGACAGATCCATTGATTTTCTGGCATCAAATTAATTTTAAATTGCTTATTCTTCAGTATTGAACTATCAGTGATCAAAAATAGTATATGAAACATTTTATTTAAGATAATTTGGCAAAAAATATGAGACTAAGTTTGAGTGTTTTTTTTCTCTATATTTTGTTATTTATAGGAACAGTTAGCAATAAATCAAACTTTTATATCTCAAATTTTTTACGCTGTGATTTGTATTTGTAGCCATTTTATCCAAGTATATAACTTTCTAAGTTATTATACTAAATAACATTGAAAAAATATAAATTATACGGAATAACGAAGAAAAGTGGCTCAGAATAATGAAAAAAAAAGAACATAACTTTAAAGCACTTATTCAGTTTAATAATTTATTACATAATGTAATTCAATAGCTAAATAAAAATAAATATGCATAATAACAAATGTTCCATAGTGCAAGTTTGAAGGTGGTGAAATAAAAACTACAAAGAAATTCGTTTTTTTCTTCATGTGTCATTGTTTGCAGAAGTAATAGTTTTACTTAATAAATTACAGTATATTCAGCAAATGAAAGAATTAATATGAACATTTAAAGACTTAAAAGAATGAAATATAATAAATACCTGTCTCAGTGGGATCACTCGTCCACTACCGACTTCACCATTTTTACTCTTTTTGTCGTCTTCACCTTTCTTTAATGGCTGAATCAAAATTATAGAAAACAAGTTTTATTTACATATTAAACTAAATTAGTAAAAAAAAAATTTATAAACAAAGTGAAAATAGAGTTTTTAAAACTCAAACTAGGAATAAAAGAGCTTCATTCAGGTGGACATTTAAGAAAGAAAAAAAAAATGCTATTTTGCACTTTATAAATGCATATTGCAAGTGAAAAATCTAAACAGAAGAAATTAGCAATTTGATTATAAAAACATTTCTATTACAAATTTCTTAGTAAGGTGTATAATCAAATTTTTTGTAAGCATTTCCTATTGTTGAAAGCTTGTATGTATATATATATAAAATGAACAAAATGCAAAAATATTTTCTAAAACTTTACATAATCAGTTTTTGGCAAAAAACACTCTAATCTTTATTTTATTTGCCCCCATAAAAATTTTATGCACACTTTTAAATTTATTCAAACATTCTATTACTTAAATTAATAGTTATTAAATTCAATTATGCAAACATAATTTTAATTTAAAAAAGTTATCAGGCATATTTTTTAGATTTAAACGTAAAATAACCATAAATGTATACTCTGCAAAAAAGATTTGCAAGATTAATATTAGCTCATACTGAATTGACAAACATGTGTAGAGATATCGATCATACTGAATTAATAAAGATGTAATGTAGAATAATTAACAAATTATAAAATGCTTAAAAAAAATTTCAAGAATTTTGAAATGAAAATGAGAATTGAAGCTAAGCATTTTTGTCAGAACTTAATTATTATATGGCCACTAAATTTATCTTTTATGAAATTTTAAATAATTCTTTAATTTAAATAAAATGATAAAGAGAAAAATTATATTTTGAATTGACAAATCTGAATCAAACTGCACACTGCATTTGTTAAATTTTAAAACAGTAGAAAGCATATAAATTCATATTCTTTTTAAGTCATACCTCTATAAATTATTGAATGTTTTTTTAATTTAAATAACTCAAGAGAAATGAAAATAACAAATTCAATAAAATAAGACTACAATAAAAAGCCTGATATACTTTATACAATCAATGAATGTCTCTCAGATAAACTCCTATGATTTAAAAGAAGCTAAATTAATTCTTATAATTATTAAATCAAATGATAAAAAGAGAAAATTTAGAAGTGATGAAACTCTGTGATTGTTCACTGCTCTTGAAAACACTAATTAGTGAATACTAATAGTGACATGAAAATAGTAATTAATGATTGATTCCCAAGTCAAGTTCAAGGATTGTAGTACTTGCTGATTTATAAGAAAAGTGGAGTAATCTATAAATAATATAAAGCATGAACATCATCAGCATACACATGGCGATTCACCACCAATAAAGAAATTAGCAACAAAGAAAAAGAAAATTTTCTCCTGCTATTGAGAAAAAAATTTGGCAATGCTTAGTTAGCCACTATGATCAACAAAAATTGTAGAGATTTTGGTTTGATTTCAGAAGACAGGATATGAAATCTGAAATTGAAAATCTAGCAAACTGCAGCAGAATCATACATAATTGCAAGAGTTCTTCTCCTTGAAAACAAGTTAAATGTAAGTGCATGCACTCCAGGGGCCATTTTAACCAACACCTAAAATAGTTGACAATTTCCTACAATACAGATGACAGTATGCTAAAACAGATTGTGGTAGAATGAATTTTGAAAACATGGAGCAGAATTTGTGAAAACCACTCTTTTTTGCATAATTTATGACAACAGTTGTCATAGCAAAGAAAATTCTCATTTTGGAAAAGAGAAAATTAAGCACCTTTTACAAACACTCAATTAAAAAAAAGCACCTTAAAAAGTCTTAAAAAAAGGTAATAAGCACCTTTAAATACTTTTTAAAAACATTGTGCACCCTGTTGAATTTTGCATGGAATTAGTTGGGAGAAAATAACTTTTATTTACAATTTCATTTAAAATCAGAAATAAAATACATATTTAAAAAAGTATTTATAGTAAAAATTTAATAAATTGCTAAAATCAATAAAAACAAACAAGAAAATTCTTATAAATAAAATTAAAAATATTTTTGTAGACCCCATAAAAACAAGTAACATCAAACAGTGTCAAACAAAACTTTATTTTTATTGTGTATCTGTCTTCATTTCAATAACTATAATATATTAAGTTTCAATAAATTATTTTATGACTGCTTAACATCCAAAATGTTTCAATAAACAAAAATATGATTATATATAAAATTGTTTTTTTTTTAAACGTGCATTTGAAGTAATAAGTAAAAAATTTCACTTTATATGAAAAAATGAATTATTTTAGGAATATTTTAAAACTTTATTCCTTAATATTTTCCCAAAAAGATTAGGTGGAATGGGAATTTGTTCCATTTGTTTGCTAAATTTAGTATTCAGAATTAAAATTTTCAAAAACAATTAAGTATGTCAAATAACTATTTAAAAAATTCAGGGAAAATTATATTGCTCAATTATAATAAAAAAAATGTATTACATAGAGTTATTTCCATTGGTTTCTTTCTTACAAAATGCTATTATATTCTTCCTGGTTAGCATATCATTTGCGGGTAAGATGAACAGAAAATCTTTTAAAAAATTCTAATAAATGTAGTATGAAATAATTTAGGATATTTTTAAGATATCATTGTATTTATAAATAAAAAAAAGTTTTAATTTTTGAGTAAAAAAACTTAATATTAATTAATGTTGTCTGCTTCCCAGTTATTCTCTGTAAAATTACATGTTGCTTATATTTGTAAAGTTTTATTATTAAGAATATAATTTTAAAAAACTCTATTTTCTGCTTAGAAAATAGAGTTTTTTTAAAGCACTTTCATCCATTTTAGTAATAAAAAGATTATAAAGCAATGGACAACAACCCTCTATTTAAATTTTTGAATTTCATCTTTCCTGAATCATCTTGAATTAAAGTTTAATTTGCATTTCAGATAGAAAAATATCTTAATCATACATACATTGCTTACAGGAAAAAGATTAGAGCGTCTACGAGTTTTCCTAGATGTTGTTGGTGTGGAACAAGGAGTCGGTAAGTCTTTAACATCTTTTGAACCACATACTGTATTTGGAACAAGAACTTCAATGCCAAGTCTATCAGATTTATCCTTCATTTCTCTTCCTGAGACAGAACCATCAATTCGATCCTAAAGACCACAAAAATCGTTATAAAACATAACACAAGGCACCTAATTTACATACAACTTAAGTTATGCTCCACTAAAAAGTAATTTTGGAATGCTAGTTATATATATATATATACACACACACACACACACACACACACACACACACACACACACACACACACACACACACACACACACACACAGATATATATATAAAGGAAAAAGACATGGGAATCAATACATTAACAAGATGCAAACAGAATAGTTTTATTTAAATACAGCAAAATTTTAACTGTATAGCTTGCACATGTGAAAACTGAAAACTTAATTTTAACACCTTTTACTTCAAAGGAACTTGTGGAAATAATAATTAATATCTTTCGTCAGATGAGTGACAATATCTTAACTTTCAGTACATACTTGTTATTTTTCAACTTTCAATTAATACAAGTAAAAAAAATGAAACTAAGGGTGCAAATTTTATTCTTATTGGCTTCCAAATTATAAAATTTTTAGGAGCAGATTTCTTTATTAGTTTTATTATTTATTTGTTTCTTTTAGATAATACATAATTTTTCGCATGCTTATAAAATTAAATGCCTTACAATAGCACAGGATAATTCATAATTCTCTCCTTGGTTTCAGGCTCAAAAAGTAAAGAAACTGGCAATGAAACTGAAATAACCTTGCAGTAAATATAAAAACAATTTTACAGTCCATAAGCTTTCAATATAACACTGGCTACGCAGAAAACAATAATTTTGATAATAATGTTTCTTAGACTAAACATATATTGTAAATGGTCATACACAATTACTTTCTCTTACTGAACCAGTACTGAAACCAGTCAGTGAGATGCATTATGTGCATTGAAATTTGGAAAATTGTAGTTAGTTACATGAAAAACCGATCACATGCACCCATTAAAAATCTATATGTTTCATATGACAAATTAAAATTAATAATTTAATTTTTTGTTTTTCAAAGTCTTATGCATTTTATGTCTAGAGCAGAATACAACTTAAGTTTAAGTCTTAGCCCAATGATTTAGGAACTTTTGATAGAATTAACCAAAGTTTCACATACATAACACATATATGGTCTATTAAAAACAAAGTGTTTTAAAATAAGATTCCTTTCTGCTGTTTTTGTCATCAATTTTTAACAATAGCTACCTGAAACCTTGGAGGAAATTGTGAACCATCAGGTAACTACAAACCTTACAGAGGTTAGATTTAGTTGCAAATAACAAAAATAAATGAATGAAACTTTAAAACAAAGAATTAAAAATTAGTTTTGCTTCCTGCAAAATTTATTGCCAGGTACTTTACTGACATCTGACAAAATTAATAAATGATTAAACAATAGTTATTAAAAGTATTCCATAGTCTTACATTCAAAGTATCCCTGGTCTTTAAAGTCTTGATAAAGCTTTTGTCTTTAAATTTGAAGTTCCTAATTTTGGTAAATTTAACAAGTTTTTATACATATTCAAACGTTCTTCTCATTTATAAGATACATTTCCTATTTTTTATTAAGTTTGCATTTTTATTATACAGCAAAAAGGTGGGATTTTTAGGATTTTTAAGGGCTTGATGATTGGGCAATGATTTTTAAAATACCTACTGCATTAGTGTTTCTGGGACAAATAAGTGTGCGAATCACTGGTCTAGGCATTAATTGAGGATTTGAGTCTAGTACCTATTTAGAAAAGAAAGGACAAAATTTTGTCATTTAATTCTCTTGCCCTATGCAGCACACACATATGAGTAAAATTTATACACTTTTAAATTCATATTTATAATAGGTGAGTATTTTGAATAGAATTATTTTACTTTTGAATTATGGGTAGCTGCACTGTGACTAAGGTGACTAGGAGATGCTGAAACAGCATTGAGAGTAGGATTTCCAACATTAGGAGATGGGTGATAACCATTATTAGCACTAGATACTCCTGAAGAATTGGAAACATAACTATTGCATCGAACTGGATGGTTAGGAGTGCTAGGTCTTGAAGTTATGCCTGCCATTTTCTGTTGAACTATCTTTTGGCAAGCTATAATATATTAAAATACATTATATTATACAAATAAAAGAATTGCAAAGAAAGAATAAAATGATTTTATTTGAACTGGCAATTAACTAAAATTTCATTAACTAATAACTACATTAACATTCTAGACTATTTGAGTAATTATACAGTTTTCATAAATACACATATAATTGTATGATAAAAAATAATTTGAACATAGGTATAAGCAAAGTCTACAGCTATAAAAATAACATCGACTTTTCCTACAAGCATATTTGTCACTAATAAATAAAGAATGCAGAACTACATTAATAGAATTATATATTCAGTTCCAAAAATTAGTATTTAATGGATCTATAGAAGTTATAAATAGAAGTTTGAATAAAGAATATAAAATTTTAGAATAGCATTTCAGAAAACAAATTAAAACAGAATTGTTTTTTGAAAGTAAAGGATTTCACATATTAATGGACATTTGCCTCTTCTTTTCACCCAGTTCAGATAAGAGTTAATTTTTGTTTGTTTTCATTCACAATTGTTTCCATGGAGAACCTTTTAACAAAACTTAACTTTTTATTAATTTTAACAGAGTTAAAAATACCAATTAAGATAATTAAACTAATCAATGGCATGTAAAAGGGTATAAAGCTTCCACTGTCATAAATGAGATTTTTAAAGTATTTAACATCATCACAGCTGTACGGCAAGATGATGCACTATCCTTATAGCTATTAATTTTGGCAATTGACTACTTCATTCAAGAGTTGGCTTTGAAAGGCTTAAACAATATCATGGCTATGTACACCAAGAAAGATAAGAAATAATAATGAACTTCACAGTTCAAATCTGAAAACATTATCTGATTCATAAAATCAGAATGCTAGGCAGCGTTATGCCATATAGAAAGAATGAATGAAAGTAAAGTTTTGAGAAAAATCTTAAATTGCAAATATAAATTGCTAATATATTTAAATTATAATATTTAAATTGTTAACATATTAACTATGCATAACTAAATATTCTAAAATTATTAACTGAATATTTAAATAAGAAACATTATTCTACATAATTTCCAATTTTTTTATAACACCATAGGTTAATTAAAACTAAGTTTTTTTAAAAAAAAATAATAAAATATTTGGAGTGAAATATTTTTTATACATCTTTTCCACAATTTCAAAGTGTATTTAAAATTCACGCAACAATTCACATCTTCATAGGTGACATGAAAAGAGAGTTCTTTAAACAAACTTCTTAAATTTTCATAATTTATTTTGAGTTGCAAAACATCTCTGTAGTTATTGACAATGTTAGAGCAAAGACCATAATTTTTTTAATCGAGGATTAATGAAAGAGGTGTCATTCTCCCCCTCCTTACACTCACAGGTTTATTTATATTATATACTCTCATTTTTATCAGGGATGTAACGAATATTTGACCACTATTTGGTATTGGGCCCTTTTGTGGAATATTTGGTTGACTGAATGCTCCACCAAATATTCGGCAAAGTATTTTTTTGGAAAAGAATTTTCGGGCAATATTTTTTTGCGAGTTAAAAAATATTTAATAAAGACTAATCTATAATATTTTTTACTATACATTATTGGAAATAGTTTAACACCCATTTGCTAAATTCTAAAAATTGTTAATTTATGTTCGGATAAACTAATGGAAAAGCGAAATTTAAAGAATTGAAATTTTATTACTTTATACTAAACTTTTAATTACATTCTGGTGAGTCAATTAATTTCATTATTTTTTTTGTTGCTTTAATTATAGCGCAGAATTCTTATAGAGCGTTTCTAATAGGCTTCATTTATATATTGCCCCTTTCTTCCAGTACCGTTAACAAATAATTGGTAACAAAGAAAGCTGCGATTTTCAAAGGTTAAGTTATTGTATTTCGAAACTAGGAAAAAAAATTTTCTGCTACTCTTTCGCTTTTTGTATTAACTTTTCTTTTTATCAGCGTTTATATTAAGACACAGAATTTTTAAAAATAGTTTCTAATTAACGTGATTCCTTATGTTCACTTTTTTGTAAAAAACAGACAAACTGCAAAGTGAAAAAATTGAGATTTTTTAGCACTTAATTTTGTGTTTTAAAATGAAGAACAATTTTTGGTTTGCTTCTATCTAGCTTTCTCTATTTTAAATTTTTTTTCGCTTTTATGGACGCTTTTATTATGATGTGGCAATTAAAGAGTTTATATTAGACTTTCTTATTTTTTTTTCACTTTTTCAATTTTGCTTAAAATAGAATTTTACCTGAGATTTTAAGTATTCAACAACACTAAGTAAAAATCTTTTCAACAAAATTGCTCACTAGTTTCATTTCTTCATTTTATGACTTAAAACATTGTAACACATTCATCACAGACATTTAAACACATTCACTACCTTTTCATAACCTTGTGCAAATGAGTTCCTCTTTTTATATTGATACAAACTAAATTAAGCTGCATAAATTTACATAAAAAAAACAAAATCCAAATATAAATTTCAAAATGAATTCAAAAATTTTTTGCACAAAAAAATCAAAAATGAGGCTTTTTAATACTTAGATAATGTATTACCATATAACTTAAAAAAGTAAATAATCACAACATTGTGAAATGGTGCTTGCAAATGCAAAATTTCAAACTAGATTTTTAAAAAAAAAAATCAACCATGCTAAATTCAACATTTTCAAACTTTAAAGTAAAAACATTAGAATACTACCATCTTGGAAGACTCGTTCTACGTTGAGTCCGTACGTAGCACAAGTTTCATAATATGAACATCTTTTTAGGTCATTAGCTAGTTTTCTTGCCCGAGAGTCATCAATGACTCGTGGATTACTTTCACTAATAGCATCTAAAATACAAAAGTTATTTAATATGAAAAATACAAACTAATATTATATACATTTTGTACAGTAATTTTATTACATATACATATTGTACTGTGAATGACACAAATTGAAGTGATTTTCAATTCATTCCAACTTTTCCAATCCCTAATGGATATGACAAGAAAAGGAGACATTTAAATGATCATCACTCTGAAAATATACACGATACCTTGTATTACTGCATAGCATAAGCAATAGCTATTTACCACGAAATAGCGATTAGCATTCAAGTAATTTATGAATTTGGAGATTTTCGTATTTTCGTCCATATATTGCAATTGAAAGCCTTATGGTTTGCAAATTGCACTTCTTAGCTATTGTTCTTTCTATGTAATACTGTATAAAGTGCCACACTTTTTATAAAATCTTTATTAAATTACAGTTTGAAATATTTTGATTAGAGCAAAATAATTTTAAGCATTTCTCTTTAAAGATCTGGAAAACCTTTCACAAAAATATCAAAACTTAAATTTAAAAAAAAAAAAAATTAACAGAAAAACATAATTTGAACTCTCAGTGTGATCTAAATTATGAACTTTTTAATTCTGATAAAAACATCAAAAAGTTACCAAATTTAAAAGTTTGGATGTCCAAGTTCAATTTACAAAATAAAAATATTCAAGAACATAGCACTACAACTATTAACACAGTTTATGAGGCATTGTTTTAATTTTTTGTGTCTTTAAACCAGTTTTATGGGGAAAAAAAGACCAATACAGTATTTTAAAAGTTATTTTAGCAAATAAAGAAAATGAAAGTATAATCTATAAATAAAAATACGTTTCTAATCAAATATCCTAAATTAAATATCCAAATACCAACAGTTGAAAATTTTTGAAATAAAACTCTATATATAGTTCAAAGAACAAGTTATCAATCTTAAAATCTAAAGGATGAAGTTCTCATAATAATTTTTTAATCCGTGTCTTTACTCAATTTTGTAACAGTCATTTTATGAAAAGTGCATTTTATGTGAATTCATTTGTATATGCTGAATGTAAAGCATAATGATTAATAAAAAATTTCCAGGGTAAAAAAAAAAAATTTTTAAAAAAATATATATATATAAAATCTCTTATGTTGGCAGCTATCTCAGAGTTGGCAGCTATGCTTATATTATGCCCAGTGAATACATAAAAAGATTACTTAGAGGTAAAAATCTATGGCAGGAATATCAAATGTTAGATTATTTTAGAGAAATTCATACAATAAGATACTCGCATATCAAAATGAATGCATTATCAGCAAAAATGGAAAAATTCTAAAATTTTTTAAAAGATTAAAGATAAATTGAAAATTTTGTAATGCTACTCCCCCCCCCTCTCTCTGTGAAAATAATTATATTACGAAACTTGTTGCTCAAAAACCCCCAAGAACCTATTTCTCCAACCAAATATAATTTAGTTAAATTTGTTAAAAACTGGAGCAACTTAAGCTGCCAGAAATGTTTACACTAAATTCATAACTAGTTACAAATTATTATTCCGAAGATTTGTTCCGAACATCTTGATAGGTTTCCTTTTCTGGTATAAGTCATTTTTTAGTTATCTAATTATTATAGATTGCTATGATTTAGTCCTCAATTTCGTTATCAGTACTTGAAAAAGAAAAAGAAATAAAACTTGAATAACTTTTTTATTTTATTCAACATGCAGAATAAACAAAATTGTCATGAGATAAATAGCCATACACAGTCATGATACTAACTTCAAAGTCGTGCAATCAAATTTCTAAACCAAATCTTTACAAGATCTAATTTCTTAATTTGCGTTATTTAAAAACTGAAACTCTGTCCGTGTAATGGCCATGAAAAAATTGTCCCTGAAGAAAAAAAGTTCAAGTGTTACAAAATGAAAAATTTTTATCTCATAACAATACATTACAAATATAACGAACGTGATTGTGTTTTGAATAAATTTAATGTCGTGTTAAAATGTTTTAATTGGTAACAAATAAAACCCCCCTTAAGACGTAACGCAAGAACATGGGAAAAGAGAATGAAACTTACCAAAAAAGAAATTCAAATGATAAAAAAGAATTTTATTGAAAAATTTAGCTTTGAGCATTATTGGATAAAAGACCAAAATGCCGAGGACATGATTTCCCTAAGCAATGGTCACGAATCTATGAACCGCAAGTTCATCGAATTTTAAAAAATAAATTGCAACCTCAAAAGTGTCGTGAGTCATAAGTATGTATTTGACTGAAAACACGTTTTAACCCCCTTCTCAGTTAGAATTTTTTTCAAATTTCAGATACAAAAAGTTTTTTCTTTTTCTTTTTTTCTTTAATTGCTGAAAATTAATATATGTTCAATCCTAAATTTGAAAATGCAAAATATTTTTGTCAACAAGCAGTTTTTTGCTTGAACTATTGGTGGTGAAATATGTGATGTCCCCCTGCTCACTGATCTCCAGTTTTCCCTGCAATACACCCAAGTTTTATCCTAAAATAATACACTCTGTGATAACATTTTATTAACTCTGTAGCTTTAAGATGTTTAAGATAAATATCTCTACAAAATAATTATTAAAATTAGGTAAAAAATATTTTGGAAAATAATTATAACTCTAATTAAATAATTAATACTAATAATTAATTAATAAAAATTAATATTAATGCTGATGAAATGAAATAATTTTAATACTAATGATTAATTTTAAAACTAATGAAAGCGAAATTACAGAAAGTACAAAACGATTTCGATTTAAATTCAAGGCGGGAAATCTTACTCCGAAAATTGTGAAAAAAGTGGAACTAGTTGCGCCTTATCTTAGCAATATTCAGAAATACAAAAATAATAGTGGAATTTATAGAGGCGTGTAAGTAGCGACGAATTCAATTTCTATTATGCAATTTTTCTCTTCGCGGCATGGCATGCGACGCCGTCCATACGGACACAAAAAAACCGAATGTATGAGATGCGACGCTGAAAGAGAAGTTAAGAAAAAAATACAAAAAAAATTAAAGAAAAGAATATGTTAAAGATAATTAAGATAGGTTAAAATAAATAAATGTAGGTTAAAGAAGAAAAATAACGTAGTTTTTGAGAATACGCTTTTCAGAATAGTTTCCAAATTCCAATTTAGCTTTTATTATTGCATAAATTAAGAAATTTAATAATACTTAAAACAATTTTTAAGTAAAATATTATTATACAAAAATAGAGTAATTTTAACAAAATCTGACAGTTTCTTTTAACATATTTCACATTAAAAAATATTAGAATCAGAATTTTCCCAGGGTTGAAACATTAGAGATAAGAAATTTCAGTCAATATCATACATGATCATACATTTCTTTAACGGTTTATTATTATCGGGCTGATATGAAGGATGATGTAATTAAAAACAAATCTCATCAAATTTGGTGAAAAACACTTCAGAGTTTTACAGCATTTTTAAATATTATCAAAATATTGAATAATGGAAATCTAAAAGAAGAAGCCTTAGTTTACTAAATATTTTCTTTTTTCGACTTTTTCGGTGCGCTTTGCTTTCTTTCCCATTGGACCATAATAATGTATTTAATAAGTGAAAAATTTTCTAATAAAAAATTCAGTCTATTTTTAAAGTTTCTGCGATTGAACGGTGCTGACATAAACTGCAGAGAAACAGTAATAAGAATCTTTTGAAATTGACCTAACTATGTCTTCATCTATCATTACTCGAGAATTCCTAGGAGCCAAAGTAAGTTTTCTTTAACGGCAGGCACTGAATTTTTCCTTCTTCGCCTCGCAACATCGCGCAACTGTCGGTAATTTAACGATACCCGGTGGGCATGTTAAATGAGTAACGTTAAGTTAGGGTGGCAAGGCAACGTTAAACCAAAAATCTTAGATCGAAGATCTTAAAATACGTAAACAACGCAGAGAATTGTTCGGTGCGGTACGCAATTCCGTAAAAAAAAAAACTTACAGGGAGAGTAACAGCAAAGCATCATATGTACTAAGATCGAGCGCATGCGCATAAGAAGTATAGTGTCAGCTAGGAGGTACGGTCACCTGTGAACCGGTTGTTGAAAAACTTTACATGTATGGTTGCGTACTCTGTCTCCCAGCCAACCTCCATTTTAGCCTTTCTAAGTCAAAATGTGTTAGATTTAATCAACATAGATAATATTTATTTTTTTCAAACGGCAGGCACTGAATCTGAATCTTAGCCTATGAAGATGCCGGAATTGTTACTCATTTAGCGTTACCCAGTGAGCACCTGTGAACCAAAGTCACGGAGGCGAGCAACGTTGCCCACGCCACACTGCTACAAACCCGTTTATAGGGTGGGGGGGGCACATTCACACATCACACACACAACAGAGGACAGCACAAAGAGAGAGAGAAACATCCATGCACAGAGCGGGATTCGAACCCGCAGCCAATGGCATCGCAGTCAGGCGCGCTAACTGCTCGGCCACCTGGCACATAGATAATATAAATGTATTCTCAAAGAAATATCTTATTTAATAGTACAGTGTTTATCAATAGTGTGAAAATGCAGAACAAGTCAACAATAAATAAAAAAGAGAAAACTTTTCTTCACCCCAGTGGTGGTTGAGAGGAGAGGAGGTTGCAAACCTACACAAAGGCAGCATCTAACTTTAGGGGACTCGTTTACAATATGGCTACGGAAGCAAGACTTCTTCATGTACATTCTTTGGTTAAGTCACTGTGGCATCTACGGCACACGGCCACAGATACCAGTTCATAGGGTGGGCCACATTCACACAACAAAGGACAACACAAAGAGAGAAACATCCATGCCCTGAGCATGATTTGAACATGCAACCATTGGCATCTCAGTCAGGCACGCTGACCGCTCGGCCACCAGGCCGGCCATTGCAAAGTAATAGAAGAACGTAATAGTGAATTTAAAACGTTGATATACAGTTCCTCGATGCACAGGAAAAAAAAAGATACTATACGAATTGAATTACGAATAACACTAAACGAAAAAATACTATACGA